TACACCACAAAGCTGCAACTTGTCCAAGCAAACTGCTGGAGAAGGCTTGAATAAATAAGCTTTGAGAAGGAAGGGAGGGTAACAACAGAAAGGTACCAGAACGCTTAACCCGAGAGGTTATGATCCTCTTTTCTATAGGGGACCATGGGAAAACCCCACACCTCTCTCAAGGCAGCAGCACGGTAGCTATAGGTGACCTGCTTATTCCCGCAGCTGGCCAAACATCAGGAGGCAGAATCACTGTGACTATTACTCTTATCACAGCTGGCATTGCTACAAGTAATCACCTTGCAGAAATAAGATTTCCACCCTGTGAGAACAAAAGGTCGAGTGCCAGAGCGAGCGCCGTGCGCCTGGCGGAGCCTGCCTCCCTCAGCGCAGAGGGACGGCCCCATCCTCTACCTCCTCAGGAGCCAAAGAAGAAAAAAGGAAGCTGAACAGAGCACTAACATCAGGGAGGCCTTTCAAAATTAATATGCTGCTCCATACCTCAACTCACTCCACTTTTTAAAGCAGGCTATTAATGACAGCATTACATTTTGGTCCTAATTTATACTGACAAGAAAGTCCCTGCTGAGGAGCCAGCAGATATTTCACTCTCCTTACACCCTTTGATGCTGAATCAAACCAGCATTGATGCTGAATCCTCATCTACAACGAGGAAGAGACAAGGTACTTTCTGGAAATGTTTTCTTCCTTGGCAAACCTTCTGCAGCTTGAATGGCCATGAATTTCTTATGCTTTGTTCCACAGAGGTGTTGTGCTGGTGTTGCTGCACCCCTCCCAGCTGTGTTCTGGTACAGGCAGGTCTTCTTTACCTACCCAAAGCRTTTGGAGATGTCGGATAGTGGATCTACTGGCTTCCAAAGACTCAGGTTCACAGACAGACATGAAGACAGAGCCCTTAGCTTCTACAGCAGGCAAAAGGTGAACAATAAATAAATCCATACACATCACCTCAGAGGCAGGAAGCTCGATCAGATATCCTAAAGGATAACAACTCTTAGGCTCAGCACATAAATTATCAGCTGTAAAGGTCAAGTTGTTTACACGTACTGAGCGCCAGCCGGGGCAGTTACAAGGCCTTGCGGGACGCACAACAAAGCAGAGCCCAGCTCTCAAACCACGGCCAGCAAAGAGGCTGCCACGGCCGCCCTGGTTCCCTCTGTTACCTTGAGGAGCCACTCACCCTTCCAACTCGCTGTTTCCACCTGTAGAAGAAACATGTCCCTTTGATGCCTTTGGAGCCTAACAGCAGTGAGGGATGAGGCAGCTACATGAGCTGGGGGAGCAGCACAAACCTGCAGACACTCGCTGGCCTCCACTCGCCCCGGGGAAGGGCAGCAAAGGGCCACCAGATCTGTCGTCCCTCTGGCAGTGCTCTAGCAAACAGCAGTCACTTGGCCAACGTCACTGTTAGACTTTATGCACAAACTGCAAGCTAATCCCTGCACTTCACACATTCATCATGGTTAATTAATTAGCCCAGGGCAGGATATACCTGTACTCCTTGTTTAGCATTGTTCTRGCCTGGACCCTCCTCCAACGGGACATTCATTTAAGTGATTGCAAGGTGCTCGCTCACATCAATTCCTAGCCAAGTCTTTGCTCACTTAAAAGCAACCATTCCCTGCTCTGCAGCTGAGGTTTGACCCACCTTTGCCAAGCACSACTCCAAAAAGGAGGACTAACCCCTCTAAGCCTACAGGAGGTCCCAGGCTAGTTGCTAAGCTTAGTACTTAGCCCTTGCTAAGCTTCAACTTCTTGCCCTGTTAAATCCCAGATATAGGTTTCTTTTTTAATATAGAGATATTATAATAAGCCATAAGGTTCTTCCTTTTTTGAGGGCCAAATGAACAGGCTAGATCCACTGCTGCTCTAGAAGGGCAGCTGATCATTTAAGGCAACCATTGTCACCTTGAAAGGCCACTTTATTGCCAGATTTTGAGTACTTATACATACACGAGGCAAAACCAGCATGTTTAGGTCCAAAGCACCTTGGCAGTAACCCTGATAACCTAAAGTCTTATGTTGTAAGATATGTTGTAACATTTGAATGGCCTGTATTACTTCCATCTGTGTGATCCACTCAGGACCAAAACGTAATGCATAAATAACTATTTCCACATGCTAGCACACCAGCTAGGCCATAATGTAACAAGAGCTCCCTTGGCAGTTTGTCTACGGAGAAAATATGYCTGCAATTATTTTTCTCAAGTAGAACACATGGCCTACTTGATTTTCAGTGTGGAGTCATRTATGCTCCATAAGCATTAATGCATTACTTTGCGTAGTTTAATTCATTAGATTAAGCAAAGTCATCTAGGAGAGCAGATCTGTTCAGAAAGGAGGGCATCCACACACAGCAGCTCTTTCCAKCTGTTTGGAAACACCCCAGGAATGGACAAGCCACATTAATTAATGCCAGACCAGCTCGCTACACTAACGACTTGGTTAAATTTACATGCCAAACTGACAAGACAGGTTAAGCCACAGAGACATAACTTCTGAAAGCAGCTTTTTCAAGAGACATCAGTTCTGCATTAGAGGCTCCTGGAGGTCATTACACCAAGCACAAAAGCTGCCTTCTGTCAGAGCATCAGATTACTAAGGCTGGCTTTCAATTTGAAAGACTGGACAGAAAAAAGCAAGCAAAAAAACCTGTCTAATAGAAGAATCAGGAAAACAGAGCAGCTTTTGCAGAGAAAGTTAAAGCCCTGAATTCACTTTAAGCATATTAATGTTGTTTCCCATTGCATTTGTRAAAACAAGAGTGAGGGAAGCCACCAGCTCCCACATCAGATGCTGCAGATCCACTGCAGAGCCACTTTAGGGCAGCTTAAAGGCCCCAGGCCAGCAGAAGATCCCTGTTTTTTGGGTTAAGGCATTTTTAGCCAGAACAGCAGYTATTTTCATTTAGGTTAGCACAAACCTGCAGCCTTTCCAGCCTAAGTCTGGGCTGCCGCTGAAAGCAGCACCCAAACACTTTGCTACTCACTCCTTTCACCTTAGTATCCTCCTCATTGTGCTGGTCCTTTATGGATGCACCCTCCTTTATGGATGGAGCAGAGACCTGCTCTGAACACGGGACTTTCCCAGCTTATCCTTTCCCCCCTACAGCCTGACATGGGATCCTTCTGCATCAAGGCAGCAGTTCTGGCTCACAACTAAACTGCTCGAAGCAGCAGTCCCTCCCTCCTGGGAGCTTCTAGGGGCTCAGCTTTCTGCCTGGCACCGATCAAAGGAGGTATTTTGCACAGGGAAAAGATAACTGTTTTCCCTAAATATCCAGAAAAGCCTTGTAGCCACTGTAACATTTCCCTGGGAAGACCCTGGTTATGCTTCCATTAACGCGGCTGTGAACCCCGGGGAGGGCTGTGGGCAGCAGCATCCAGTGTTTTGGCCAAGCACACTGAAAACAAGTCCTTGAAAAGGGCCTCACCAGGCTGGCTTGTCCACCTGTCACTGCCGAGGCCTCTTTCGGGTTCAGCATGGCACCAGACTCCTGCTACGAGATGTCTCCACTCCCAGCCTCCCATAAAAGGGGGGCTTTGAAGAGCCCTTTGCTACAACGTGCTGCTGGGTCAGAGAAATCTGAAGTGACAGAGCAGAGATGGATGTTCAACACAGGATTGGTCACAGAAGGAAAGAAAAGCCTATAGAGCCCTGCCCTAAGGGGGCTCCAAGAGCTCTGAGGAGCACTTGTTCACCTGGTGAAAGGCCCTGTCTTGGAGACTTCAATACACTGAGTCTGTGGCAGCTTTACCACATGGAAACGTTTCAGTAAGTGACCTGCTCTGGCCGCTTTCACAGCACACAGGGAGGGCAGCTCCCCACCAGCTCCCAACTGCGACTCCGCACGAGCGCGCACGTGGCCCAAGCGCCCGGGACAACAGAACAGGGAGAATGACAAGGAGCAACAGTCAAGGACAGCCTCAAGTCGTGATAAGGGCTCAGGGGAGTTGGCCAACTCCCGGCAATTTCGAACTGACATCAACTTCAGGCCCATAAAGCCTTACCACAGTACTACCTAAGGTATATTAATGCCTTGCATTGCTAAAGGCATTGATTCAGATTTTAATTTGATGTACATTACTCCTTTCTTTCCATTCCCGATTTAGTCTCTCTATTATCATCACACACCCTTAATATTTCTTCCTGCATGCACCTTCATTCCCTGCAATACAAACTCGGCTCCTGCTCCTGCTAGAAGGGAGCTCTCGTCCCTGGACAGCACCAGAGAGCCCCCACGGGGCCTCCTGCAGACCCTCCTCTTCCTCAGGAGGGAGGGCAGGGAGGGGACCAGGCCCTGTCCCAAGGGCCGTTCAAGGCTGCACCAAGCTCTGCAGTGAGCGCAGAAGAGCTCTGGGCGCCGGCTTAAACCTGCCAAGGGGGATTACACTGCTGTTCTTCCCTGCTCCAGGAGGCTGGGATGGGTATCAGCTTCACGAAACAAACACTTAAAAGGCTGGGAATTACTCTGCTGCTGTTGTCCGACCACACAGAGAGCTTTTCTCGAGCTGGAAAAAAAGAAAAAAACCCCAAAACCCTCACAAAGATCCATCTTAATCCACTAGGACAGAGACTTTTGACTATTACTAGCTTTAACTATCCAGCCTGAAGTTTTGAGACACCCAAGGGCCAGGCAGAGTGTAAGTGCTGGCAAATGCAAYGTGAGCAAAAAACGGGTGCAACTCCCTCAGCATTAATACTGCCTTCAGTGGTCAGCATCAAAGGTTTTCCGTGTGTCAGATGATGCCAAACAACTACTACCACAGAATCACTGTGACCAGAAAAGACCTTTAAGGGCATYGAATCCAACGGTATTACAGACAACAACAAAATAAAGCAGGAAGACAGAGCGATAGCTGCTGCCAAGCTGCTTTCCACCGCACACAACCGTTTAAGGCCAGCGGCTGGCAGGCGCACTCCTTCACAAATTCCACACGTACTCGGGCACGGGGAGGCGAAGGGCTCCGGGCCGCGGCTACGAGCCATACCTGTGTTTTTAGGCCCATCTGCGTAGACCGGTCCCGGCGGCGGCGGCGCGTTCTGCCATCCGTACTGCGGGTAGGCCTGGTAGCCGGGCTGGCCCGGCTGGTAGGGCCCGGCCGGCCCCGGCGGGTAGCCCGGGTAGGGGCCCGGCGGCGCGCCGGGCTGCTGGCCGTACGGCGGGTACGGCGCGCTGGGGCCCGCGCCGGGGTAGGGCGGCGGATTTTCGTAGTTCATGTGGGCTGCGCAATCCGTCCTGCAGCRGAGAGAGGGGAAAAAGCGGCGTTTGTTTCGCTGCTGGCTGCTTCTTGCACGGGCGCGGAGCGCAGCTTGGCTGCCCCACGGACACCTCGCCTCCAGCTCGGGATTAGCGGGCTTCGCAGCAGCTGGCCCAGCAGGAGGCTTTTAATCCAGCTCAGATTCTGCCCATACTACAGAAGTGACTTCTCTTAGGTCGCATGACCAGCATATCAGGAAAGAAACCAATATACCRAGCCCCCAAGCCCTGCTTTAGCTATTTACCCTAGAATATTTAGGTCTTCCAACTGCAAAGAACATTTACCAGCGTCCATTCAAGTGATTAAATTGCTTTTGAGAGAAATTTAAAAGTGAGTTTAGAAGTGATTACTCTGCATTTCTGCCAAAAAAAAAAAAAAACCACCATGTGCAAGTGTGGCCTAACACAGACATATGCCTCGGCCTGGATGAGAGGATGAATGAGCACATCTACCTGAAATGCCCTTTTTCCACAGGGAAGCAGCATTCTGCTTCTCCTGGCAGTTGTTACAAATATCTAGAGCACAGTTCTGTGGTACTTCTGTACACGTCTAATTTCCTTACAACACTGCAACTCAATAAATAACGTTCTTTCAATAAAATGCTCTGAAAAAAAAAAAACAATACTGAAGAGACTGCAGAACCTAGAAATGCACAAAATCTACCTGCTATTGCTATAAAAGCTACCTAAYGTATTTCTGACCCTGCAGTCATCAATATAAGACTGTTACCAGAATATCGCTTTTAATTAATCTAAGTAACATGACTAAGACATTTCTTATATTAGGTTTCCCCAAGCTTCCCTCTGAAAAACRTAAGAACCACCCTAATTTGAACAGTTTTATCCTGCTATTGTTCTTGTGCCATCACAGACTATAGAGGAATCACCMTTTTCCTATGCTCTGTCCCTTCCTACATGCCACAAGGTTCCGGGAGAAACACTGGAAAGATTCCTTGCTCCAGCTGGCCAAGAGCTGAGGAGCAGGTTGCAGGGTCCTCAGAAAGGGGATGGAAAAGACAAGCAACTGGGCTGGCCTGGATGCTCAGGAAGCTGTATTAATTGGTGGGGATGTGCAGATTTCCAGGCCCGAGGAGACCATTAGCACATCCAGCCTGAGCTCTGGCATGACACAGATTAATGATTCCACCTTCATGATGATTGCAAGACCACGAGTCATCTGTYCAGCCAAAACTGAGTGCAGCCTCGGAGCTATGTTTAGCTGCTGCAGTCTTGGACTTGCTGTTCTACCAAACGTTGTTTATGTCTTGCTGTTTCATCACCTCCAAGGGCTGAGTGTCCCTCCCCAAGGAAGGCTCCCTAGGCCCTCTCCTCATGCACAGTCGGTCTTGCCTAAGCTTCATTAGCACATGAGCATTTGTGCACAGCTCTGCTCCATGCTCAGCCTCGAAGAGTCGCTGTGATGGCAGCACCTAGGAGAACACGACAGACTCAAAGCAATTCCACAGGTAACACTCAAAGGTMACAGGATTAACCCCCTCCTATGGCAATATCGAGACACATTGGATGCTCACCAGGCTGCAGTTCCTCAGACCTTGCTAGCTGCAGTTTGTCAACTGAATTAACTCTAATGCCCTTTTTGCTACGCTGGCCAAAGACTCACAGCTAGCRGCTATGGCAATGCTGGTACCTCTCCAGCGACTTTTGCTTTAATGCCTTTGGCGAGAGTTGTGACTGCAAAGCCAGTGTCACGAGAGGATTTTTGCTTATTGCTTTATCGCTCTGCTGCGAGGGCCCGCGCAGGACCCGCCGCCACAGCCACCCTTAGGCACAGCTCGGGGTCCGCTGAGCCAGGGACTCACCTCAGAACGGGGGCCAAAAACAAGGCCCCGGGAAGAACAAAGTCAGTGCATACACACACCCGTGCGTATATATACACAAACCATCACAGACTCGGCAGCAGCCACCAGGGACCTGCATGACTCCATCAGCATGGTGAGGAGACGCTGACCATTCCCTTCCCAGGCGGAACAATCCTGCCTGTTCTACCAGCTTCTCCTCATTCAGGAGCCACTCCATTCTTTTTAATTACCTTATTCACCATGTCGTGTGAATCTCGCTAGTTCTAGCATGTTTTAAATTCCCAAGACTAGAAATACATGCAGTGTTCAAAAGCATCACACCACAGAGTGTCTTTCTTTAGGAATCCTTAAAGCTCAGCTTGCTTTAGCTGAGCTTAAGGACAGTCTAGAGAAATGCACATGCACTAGTCTTAYTCTGCTCTTATTTGAGAGCTCTCTATTCTTAGTCAAGAGACTATTTTCTTATTAAGACTATTCTCTTAATAGTTAGTCAGCTCAAAGCTCATCTTTTTGAGCTTCAGTGAAGTTCTGCGAGGTCCTCCCATCTGCCCCTTCACGTGCATCAATTTGACCGCACTGAAATGGAAATGATATTAAATGTAGATAGCAGTGAATTAAGACTTAAGACATTGAAATCATTCAGTTACTGYGAGCGCCTTCAGGCAGTGAATGACTTGAGCAGATTTTAGGAATGTGAAGGCAACACGTTTGTATCTAAGATAGATGAAGCACTGCCCCTCATAGGCTGATGTAGTGGGGAAGGTCCATGTTTTGTGTGTGGTAGATACCGATTCAGCTGCCTTTGCAGTGGTGGAGCTAGAGGGTACGGCGAGAGGCCTGGGTGCCGAGGGGACCTGCCGACGCGCCCGCCCCTTCCCGGGCCTGCAGCACTAGGAAGCAGTTTTCCAATACAGAGCTCTAATGGAAAGTGCACTTAGCATCAACAATCCAACGCCTGGCAGCAAGCCTAGACCCTAAATTACATTTCACATGAACAGGATCCAAACGAAAAAAGGCACAAGCGGCTCCTAAGTGGCCCTGGGTCTGTGCTTCCCTCTTACCAGCTTCTTTCCAAATTCCATTTAGTGATTGCATAAAAGGTACATTAAGGATAAATGGCAAGATACTCCCTTTTGCTGTATTCATTTCCAGGTAGAGCTCCGACCCACCCACTTCACTAGGCAGCACTATCAACCTAGCTGCAGAGATGAAGTTCTGTCCATTTATTCTGCCAAAAGCCCCAAGTATCAAAAGCCTACCCCAAAAATATTTTGCTTCCCCACACACGTCTAGGCAGAAAGGAAAAGCCCAGCTTTATACCACCAGTGGGAACGAGAAAATGCAGCTTTGTTCGTCCCAAGGGGTGCCCAGCACCCTGCGAGCCCAGGGACAGAGGGACTTCCTCAGCTCCTCACACGAGGGCCAGGAACTTGCTGAGCATTTCAGACACCACCCGAGCGCCTGGAGCCATCAGATCAAACCTGCTAAGGGAAAAACTGCAAGTTTGGCTCGACTTGCTCAGCTTTGGCTCTAGCATTTCACTTCCACAGCTTGATGATTTCTCCTCAGTGCCCCTGCAAGTCGTAAGGGTACCTGAGGTCTTCCCAGCTCTGTAACTGGAGAACTCACAAGACTGAAGCCTGAGCTCAGCCCCTTGTTTCCTGTCATGCCTTATGGACAACACCCACCATTGACACGTTTCCAGGCAGTTTTGGTTTCAAAACCTACAGTGTCGAGCAGTGCTAGAGGGCCTGATGTTATGCTGACAGCATTTGCCTCAAATGAAACCATTTTTGTAAGTTTAAGTCACAACATCGGTCCTTGCCGCTCTGTCTCCAGAGGACTTTGCAACAAAACAGCTTCATGCAACAAAACAGCCTCATGATTCTCAGTGAGGGGAATCAGCTGCTGAAGAGGCTTCAGTGCCCTGTCAGTTCTGAACACAGAAAACCTCTTCAGAAATCCCCCTCTAACCGCCCGCTGTTCCTACCTGCAACGCGCTGGGCACCCACCAGGGCCTCAGGTTGCAAAAAGTGAGAAACTRGAAGAGCTGCTTGCACAGCTGAGAAAAAACAACCCCTCCGAGAACAGGCCCACACAAAGCAATTCTGCTGTACTGTTACTGTAGGACTGCATTTTATGGGCAAAAATCTTCAGGTTTAGCAGATAGCTGAGAAGGCAATGAGAACATAAGGCTTAACAGAGACCATCAGCAGAGGAGTCGGAAGGCAGAGAACACCTCGGTGCCAGGCTGGATGCTGCTGCACACGCTGYGGTTCACCACTTACTGCAGCCACTTCAGTGTCAAGTATGGAAAAGAGGAGGCCTTTACGGAATTCATTTCTACAGATGAAGGGTGCAAATACTATACCCACTGAAAACATCTGAATGTCAACAGAAGTTAACCTGGAACCTGCAAACAATAATTATAGTAAGAATTCTGYTTAGTCCAATTGAAAGTGGAAGAAAAACAGACAATGTAGCTGGCAAGAAGGTTAACATGAGAATGCAGGGTAGGTATGGTTGCACTTGTTATTCAGGTGGTGTTCTGGCAGCAATGGAACAGCTCCCCAGTATTAACAGATGGATTGGGCTACCACTCTGATGGCAGGAAGGTAGCTTGGAAGGCACAGTAAAGTTTAGTGCATGCGCACCACAATAAAAACATTTTTCTACAGCTTAACTACTCAAAACTGTTACCTACAGGCTGGAAAACTGAGCTGGGTTGAGACTTCTCCTTGTCTTTCCTCTCCCCTTACCTTTCTCCTGCATCTCCACACTGTATGTACGGCTGTAACACGATGCTTTATGGCAGCCCATAAAAAAGATGCAGGAATTCTCATTACTGGCTGCCTTTTCACAGAATACAAGTAAAGACTTCTAATACAACACGTTGTTGAGAGTGGAAACCGAGAAAGCCTTGACCTTATGCTCTTAGAGAGACAACGCTTATTTACGCAACACCTCTGCATTTCAAGTTGAAGAGAAGCTATTGGGGCTCAGAGAACTGTCACCAATGGCTCAAGAAGCTAGTGATGCTCARTAACAAGCAGCACTAATGTGGAAGTGGCTTTCTGACGTAGAACCAAAAGAGCTTTAGCTTAGTCACGGCGGGGAGCAGGTTTCACCACCTGGAGGTG